TAGGTTTAGCACAGTCCACGCAAGACTTAGGGACTGGGGGGGTGGAAGGCCAGCAGGGGTATATATGCGCTGCTATAGTGGTGCCACTCCAGGGGGCTTCCCTGCTGGCCCGATGGGTACTGCTAAGGGACAACGCTCCAATCTGTGCATGCAGCACACACACACACCTAAATGGAATGGACATGAGCAAGCACTCGAAGAATAAATATAATTTTCGGTGGTAACTGAGACCCATGAAACTGGAACATTTACAGCAATGCATTGGGTACTAAATAAAGGCAGTTATTGCCAATCTGATATTCAATCTACTAAACCATCCCCTCCCTCTGGATCACAAAGCCCAAGACAATTATGCAAAAGAAAATACCCAGGCAAAGGCGGGAACAGTTTTACACATGTAAATCTGAAAAACTTTCAACTAGAAAATTCCCACCCAATCCTCCTTCCACAAAAATAGTTTGACAATGGGGTAAAGGATTAGAACAAAATTCATGCTGAAGAAATTTTCTCCAATCAGCGCCAATCCTTACTAGGCTTGTAGAGCTGTGGCATGTGAGGCGTTCCTGGAAGTCAGCCAATGCATTTAATATACATTCAGCAATTCAACAGAAAATGACGAAGAGCAGAGCCCCCTGTGACTTTGAGGGCCTAGTTTACATTTCACAGCAAATTCCACTCTCCTTGTGGGGAAGAAAGTTCCTAGAAGCCAAAGTTAATTTGCAATTGGTATGGGGAGAGCAGAGAAATCTTTAACAAAGAAAATAATATTTAATATTTTACAGAGGGGACTCTAGCATCCCCATACAACAGAAGGATTAAACATGGTGTTGTACTAACTGCACAAGCTAAACAGAGAAGTCTTACACATGCTGCTGCAGCTCACAAGCAGCCCTGGACTCCTGTCAGAGCTACTTAGTGGATAGAGCACTGGACTAGGACTCAGGAGACTTGGGTTCTATTCTCAGCTCTGGCCCTAACCTACTGGGTGATTTTAGTCAGGTACCATCAACTCTGTGCCTCAGTTTCCCTATGTGTAAAATGGGAATAATGGTACTCTAAAACGCTACTGACAAAACATCCTATACAAGAGCTAGGTATTATTTTTGTCATTATTAATATGTTAGATAGTGATTGGTAACATGGGTTAGGACACAGGGATTAATACCCTCATCTCTTCAAGAAGTGAGGGATGATACAAAGAGGAACTTTGGTGTAATACAATTCAAAGCATGGCACCAGCACACACACACCACAACAACCAATCAATCCAGGCTACGATGGAAAGTTTGAACCCAATACCTCCTTTTTGCAGAAGCAAACAGAAGGTCCGACCCCAAAGTTCTTGTAGGCTGGCCATCTTGCATGGTGAACGAATGCACAGATCAGATCACATCCGCAAGCATAATACTTGAAATAGTAAAGATCCAGCACACAGATGCACCATATCTGCTATAACAGCGAGGGACACCTCAGATGGATAGATAACAAAGAGCTACAGTGAGTAGTAACCACAGTTCAGTAGAGGGTCCTCCTCCAAGCCAGTGCTGACCCCAGTGCCTCACTAAGATATCAGGCAGTGTCATGTGCAAGGAATGGTGTGAGCAACTGAACAGAGGGCATTCTTCCATGTCAGTGCAACTGGCCCCACACATCCCAGAACACTCTAAGGAGGCACATCTTTCAGATGACAAGGATAATAAAATTCCCATTGTTTATGGCATATTACAGCTCCCATGGAACTTTGTGTACCAATAAGAGTGATATCCTGCCTAAATCCCAACTTGGGTAATTCCATTCTGTGTCTCAATTTCCTTGCAATTTCATGTGGATATCGTGTTCTTTGCTCCTGCCCTAAACTTCTGTACAGCTGCTAAATAGCTCCTGCATTCCACAGAAGAGATGGCTGCATGTGAGGCAGGATGAGTGTACCCCATTTTCTGATCTACAGATGACAAGTGCTTGCAATGGGGCATACAAACCCCATATTGCCAGGAAAAGGTTAATGAGCTGCTGTAGGCACAGTCAAACCCCTCTGTTATATCCACAATAGGTATCAGGCTCAAAGAGAGGGTTAGAATTGAAAAGCCCACCTCTCTTGGGAGTTGGAGGGGAAGGAGAGATCTCACTCTGTAAGAGAAGTCTGGCTGGGACCAAGAACTGACAAGATATAGCTGCCTGCCAGAGCCTCCTGAAGAAAGGTAGGCTTGACACAGGACTAGAGTTCTGACTTGCTACCTGTGTCTTGCCTATAGATACAGAGTAAGACTAATGCAAATAATGCCCCACCTGAAAGGGGGTGACTGTCAAATAAAATCATTTTGTCTCGTGCACCTAAGAATGCAGCAGTGAGTTGTTGTGAACCCAGTGCTATGCAAGAGGTAGATATTATTATTACTATCTACCTTACATGGATATAGTCAGGGTTTGTACTTGTTAAGGGCTTCCATAAACTTCAATCATGGCAAATATTATTCACTGAAGAATTCACATAAAATGCATCAGCTACAAGCCAACTCACTTCAAAAGAAATGAACAAGACTGACTACACAAGTATCTACAACAGATGTGGGGAACCTTTTTTGGGTCAGGGGCTGCTGACCCACAGAAAAATCAGTTGGGGGCCAAGGGCTGCAAGGAGGCAGTGGGGGGCTGGAGTGCCAGCATGGACTCTCTAACACTGCACAAGACCCTAGCCTCGGAGTCCAGATCCAGGCAACCCAGGGGCCGCATCCAGTCCCCGGGTCTTAGGTTCCCCACCCCAATCTACAAATACAAAACTGAGTACACGTGGCTCCCCATAAAATAAGGCTCCTAGGATAAAACAACGTAACCACCAAGTGATCATCCTCATACAACCACAAAGGTAGGATTAACTGCTGTTCAGCACAGCCATGTTACTCAGGACTGTGTCAATCAGTCGCAGACTGAACTTGTGCCCAGAGGTGAGAAATAAAGTAAAAACACAAGGAATCAAAGGGAGAAAGGAGTGGAATGGAAAGTGCTTTCCAATTATTTCATCCTGGGCAACTCATGACTAAAAGCCCTAATTACTTTTTAGCATGCCCTTTACTGGCTATAAAGCATGGTAACATAATGAAGCAGGCAGCAGTCATACCATCAGCTGTATTATTTGCAACCAATAAGGAAGAGCAGAACTGCTGTTTATGTAAGTAATAAGCTCTCTGGGGCAAACCAATACTATGATGAGGGCTCTGTAAGTATATACACTATGGATGTTAAATATAGGTTAATTCCGCATTTCTCAAACTATGGGTCCCAACCTCCCGGGAGGTCACGAGCAACTTGAGGGGGCTCACGAGCAACTTGAGGGGAGGGTCACAGTATCACAAAGTTTGAGAACCCTGAGTTAATTGAATAGTCAATTAACTTCATGAATCCTTATTGGTTACTTAACAGTCCCAAGGATGGGCCAGCAGCTATGCGCCTCCAGACCCATTCCTGAGGAGCCCCCTGCCACTTTCACACTGCTACCTCTGTATCAGAAGCCGTGTAGGGTAGCATCAGCCCCTTTCAGTGGGGAAGAAAGGGCAGTTTAGCTCCCAGACCCAGCACAAACCAGAACTGAGCCAGGCTGCTTGCCCACCTAGCTCCTAATACACTTTAGATGCAGAGCCACAGCAGGGGTAGGTCCCGGACCCAGGGTGAGCCAGGCTGCTGGCCAGCCTGCTAAAAAATGTACTGGTAAGGGGAGGAAGGGAAAAATAAGTGCAAATGCTTGTGCTTATCAGTTAATTAACTATTATATTCCTAATATACACTGCACCTCAATTTGTAATGTAAAAAACCACCACCCTTTCAGGGCTTTTTCCATCATAATACAGCCAAAAAACCCAAAGCCATATGAGCATAGTTCTTATTCTACTTTCACAGATCCTTTTAAATTACATCTCTACTCTTGCTGCAGATTACACAAATTCCCAGATTGGTGTCCATGGAAATTTTTGAAATAGATACTTTTTAGAGAGTGCCTTGTAACTTCCTTGCTTGTTCCAATTTTCTGAGAACACTTATTTCTCTGCAGACATCCCAAAGCATAGTAAAAATCACTGCAGGGCTTCCTGTGTTGAATCATCGTTGTTTAGGAAGCAAAAGGCAGTGGGGCCAGGGGTTAAGTCAGATTATAGTATGTTCCATGATATTAATCATGACAGCATGTTTTAACTGATGTCAGCTCCTTCCTTATCCCACTTTTCTTTTAAACTGCTAGGAGTTGAACATGAAAGCTAAAACTTTAGGCCAATACAAAACAACAACTGGATTATTATTAATATGACCCTGTTCATCTATAGCGCTTTCATCAGCAGATCCAAGAACTTTACAAGAGAGGTTGATATCACTATCCCCATTTTATGGATGGGGAAACCGAGGCACAGAGCCTAGAAGTGACTTGCCCGAGGTTGCCCAGCAGGCCAGTAGAGTCAGGAATTTAACCCAGTCCTCCCAAGTCCCAGACCAGTGCTCTCCCCAATAGTCTACATTGCTCTTATAATAGCCCCCATCATAGTCAGGGCAACAGCAGCAACAAATTCATAGTAATGGTTGTTAGCTCTAATATAGCACAATCAGTGACAGAGCCAAGAACAGAACCCCAGTCTCCCGAGTCCCCATTCAGTGAGCTACCCATGTATCCTAACACCAAAATGTGGCCTGGAAAAAATGAAAGTTTCCTTTTTCTACCACCAGAAAGCAAATCCAATAGTTCACTGCACTCCTGGATTCCTGATCTGCCACTGCTACCTCCTGCTCCCTACACCCAATGGCAGATTCTCACAAGAAGTTCAAAATTCTGAGTGCTGAGTTGCTGCATCAAAAGACACCCCCCCTCCCACCCTCATCCTAACCATAAAAGCAGCAGCCAGAGAGAGACCCAAGAAGAGGAAAAAAAGAAGCATGCTTTGTTTGCTTTGGCAGCAAGACACGTGTTTTACCATGAAGCTCCCCCTTGCAACATAGGGGAGAACGCTCTCTCTCTGCCGTACCTTCCGTGCACGGCTGTTGGTGACAGGGAACTCGCTCAGGCTGTCTTCATCATTGCGCAGGTCTGGCAGGCTGCGTTTCTCCAGGGGGTCAGTCCTCAAGAGGGCCTCCAGGCTGCTACCATCTTGGGAGATCAGCCCCTCTTTTTTTAAGGTCTGATCAGTATCTGTAGAGGGGAAAGAAAACCATACCCAAAGTCACCACTACACCATCAAATTAATTAATTGTGTGCAAAGGAGAAGACGCAGTCAAGACATTAGCACAATTTGGAGATGTAAATAGGACCAGTCTACACTGTGGGGGACAGTTACCATGTAACAAAAATATTACAAATAGGTCCTGCAATGCAACTGATTCTATAGCAGAAATGGGACTGGAACTGCACTGGCCCTCTGAAAGTATCATTACAGTCCCTCTAGTTCAGTATCAATCTTCTTGCCATGCCCAGAACCCTGGTATCTCCACCATCCAACTGCACTGCATCAGAACAATGGATCAGTCTAGGCTGCTACCCTGCCACTCCCTGTAACGCTGAAACAAACCAATGGACCCATATAACCTGGTATCACAAAAATGCTGGATCAGACCAATGAGCCCATCTAAGCTAGTATCTCTCCAATACTGACCATCAACAGGTGGTCCCCAGGGAGGTATATACCCTCCAAAATACAAAATTCTGCAACAATATTTAATGGGAAAGGGCATTTTCCCCATAGACTAGATGCTTAGTACAAGCTGACTTCCCTGGTTCAGCACCCTCGGGACCTGACCAGTCCCAAACGAGGGAGTTTGCTAGACCTGGGGAGGTCAATTCTAGCCCCCTGCTCCTGGC